AGTCCCTCCTCGCCCTACCCATGTCCTTCAAACATAACGAAGTGGAAACGCAGACGCCAGATCAGCTGCTGTGGTAGCGCTTCCTCCCTGGCAGCGAGGCAGGGGAACCCACAGGATCTATGAAGGGGGTTCAGCAAGACGAAGAGTAAAGTTCTGGACTGTTTTCCTTTAGCTTAATCTCTGCCACCTGCCATGAGGCTCCCATATCTTTGAGCCTGAGAAGGCCCCATTTTGTTCAGTTCAGTTTAATCGCTGCATTTAAATATGTGTGTAAAAAAAACAACAACAAAACCCCATCTGCATGAAACCAAATTTGATATTTTGTCCCTCTCCTGATGTGATCCCATGAATTTCTCGCATTGTTGTGTCCCATGTACTAAGGGTCCCATGCAGAGAGCAAACAATAAAGCAGCGAGAAGACAGATGCTCTGCTAATGGGAAAGCAAGGAGAAGAGAGTCTGTGAGGGATTACAGGCAGCCTGGGGTTGGAATACGTTATTAGCATAGCACCCAATTCAGAAATTAGTTTTCAGAATTAAATGCCTGAAGCATTTTGGCAAAAACTCCTGATCATCCCTCTCAAAAGCCCTTAAAGCATGAAAGAGTAGGAATCTCAAGTCTAGGCCGAGCAATCACATTCAGTGACTTTGCAGTGCTGTAGCAGTGAATTGTAGTTTTTACAGCTTCATACCATTACCGGGGCACCGACTGCCGCACCTACTGAAATGTAACCCACTCGATCTGCTTGCACAAACCTTCGGCAGGTTTTGAACATCCTCATCAAAGAAGAAAATGGGCCTGAATGAGATTCCAGGGTCTGTTTCCAGGAGGAAGGTTTTGTTTTGCTGAGTGCGTAACAGCAGGGAAGTGCATCGGCCTCTCCTTGGGCACGGTTAGGCATGCGAAGGAGAAGAAGTGACACGTCTTTTCAAAGATCTGACATTGCCTAAGGTAGAAACTTTGGGTCCTGAAGCCTTTTTCAGGCATGCTATTTTCTGAATGTTTTTGCCTTTGAAAATCATGATGAGAACATCAAACTTTAAAAGACCCTGGGTAGGCAACCAAGATCGGTTACAGGACTGAGGGCAGACAGGAGAAATTGTTTCTCATAGTACTTGGTGGGATTATCCTCCATGCAAAATTGTTCATTATATGCTCAAAATTCATTGTTAATTTCTTTTGGATATATTGCACATTAGACAGAAGAGTTATAAACCCCAAGATTATCACAGGAGGACACTAACAGGCCTAAATATTCAGGACAGAAAGGGACTTGTTTTCCTCTTATATTGAAACAAGGCTCTTGGACAGAATCATTAGGGATTTTTTTGACCGTTTGATAATCAAAGTATAGTGGACAGCAAACAAAAGAAAAGTTCAGCCGACCAAGTCTTCTACTTTATTTTTACTCTTCTATTCTAACATGATTAACATATTTCTCAAGGTTTATTTAGCTTCCTAAAGTCTTACTTTATGTAAGTATCATTGGGGAGCTTGATTACAAAGTCTTGATTCATGCACATAAAGTGAGATTTTATTATCCTGGGAGAGAAGTCAAGGACAAGATAAATATGGGAGAAAACAGTTGGGAACCAAACTAAGAAATCAGGAAAAATAATACACCAGCCCTTCAACATGCACTTGTTTTCTTTGCATCCTGGTAACTAGCATCTTATTTCTAAGTCACAGGAGTGAGAGTACAGGGTAACACTTCATTTTCAGCTTTGAATTTTCAGAGCTGTTCTTTTTATAACAACGTCTTTCAATGGTTTTATATATGCTTAATGAGCATCTATAATGAGTAATTGGGGAAGTTCAAAATTATGCTTCTTATTTGTCCTGGGTACAGACTGTCTGTAGACTTCTGAACATTTCTGTCTAGTTTGAGATTGGCCTGTATTTACATCATCTTACTGGTCTGCCAACAAAATTAAAAAAAAAAAAAAAACCCAAACCTGGCACATACGAAACGTTTATAGAGTAGGGCTAGAATTGAGCCCAGTGCTGCTTCCATCCCAAATGAAATTGTACGTATAAAATACCACGTGTACAGGAAGCATAGCTGTGATTTGGCTTCTCCGCTAGGCTCTGGCCTATCAGCCTGTATTACTTCACTGTTTCACCTCAGTCTGTTTTTCACGTCTCCAGACTGTGAGGGAGGCCTGGTGTGCGCAAAAGCTCTTTCCCCCCTCCAACTAGGTCAGTAATGAAAGAGGCTACAAGTCTGTAGAGCAAAACCTCCTCTTCTCCGGCAGTTACCTAGTTCACAAGCTCTGGGGGACCAGTGCACCTTCCACCCACCCGCGCTGGGAACCCACCATGGGGGAGGCTCTTGGGTGTGCTGAGGGATAATAGAGAGGCCGTTCTGCCTTGTTTGCAGTCTGGTGCAAGTTGCAGCTTCTCTCCTGTTGCACGCACAAGGTTCGTGAAGGTTAATAATAACTGAGTGCTTCAAAGACAGAGGTTGTCAATTTTAATTAGTATTTTAAGACTTCGTTTGTAAGCTCTGCTTCTAAAATTGAAAACTTAGCGCAACAGCCCTGTTTGAACTCTCCCATGTTACGAACAGACACTGCAAAGCAGAAGTTGACAGGTGAGCTACAAAAACGTAGAGAGAATCATGCATTGTTTACTGTTCAACAGCAGTGTCCACGTTACTACCGTCATGTAGAAAACGGTGCTGCTGGCATCCGAGGCTGTTACTCTTTTCCAGTCCAAACAGATTTAAAGCACAAACAGAGCTGCATCCAAAACCCTGATCTCACTGAATCAGGTCTCCAGTTTGTCTGGGATCGATCCTGTGATCAGAAAAGAGAAGAGTGTAGTGGTAAAGGGGAGCTCCCTGAGCCCATGAAATATTTTATCACTGCTGTTAGACTTACTGCCATTTTGCAAAGTCTTCTCAGTTGGGTAAGGCAGTTCTGGATGTGTTTGACAAATAACAATTCTCTTGTTAAAAACAAATCATGGTTTTAATTTAATAGGGTTAGTCATATAAAGAGTGATCTTGTGTCAGCAAAACCTTTCTTTCTGACAAACAGTGTAATTTATGACAATCTAGTTAGCAATAAATGACATTAATCTGACCACTGTGCCATTCTGTTCCTGGGGAATAATGTTCCCTCTTAATCAATAGCTGGGTAAATGCTCCTTTGCATTCCTTATCAAATGACAGCCAGATGGTACTGGTAAATTCATTCCAGCAGGATTTTAGAATTAGCCGGGTTCGTACTATTGTTAATCCTCTGCTGTCTGCGCCACTAGGACCTACCCACCTGTTTCCAGTAACCCTCGAGTTCGCAACCTTAGGCAATAGTCTAGCCAGATGGTTACTCAGATACAGCGCAGCCAAGAAGCATCCCAAGCAGTGAGGCCTTTTTTCTGCATCAGTAAGAAGAAGAAAAAAGCAAAAATCAGTATCTTGCAGAAACAGCCAGCTAGGACTGCCCGCCTCTGTATTTGTTCCCCAACACCCTGCTCTCTTGTGATGAAGTTTCAAAGTTCCTTGAGATCGCGTGAGCTGTGTTCCTTAGCGCGCAGTACGTTTGGAGCTGCGACAGCTGCCATGCCATCGTTTACTGACTTTCTGGGCCCGTCAAAGTGGCTGCGAGACCTTTTCCTTCATAATCGCTTCGTCGCATAGCAACAATAATTTTGTCTCCAACCTATTGATCTGGAATAACATGTAATTCCCTCGCACCCATAAAAAGGAAAATATATGGCAGCTGTAGGCTGGGAGCCACTGGCTTTTGAAGCGAGGGGACAGTTAATCCCACTACATCAAGGGAGAATGGAGCAAGCCGTGACCTCTGCTGGGCTGAGGCTCTGAGGGTGCCTTAGATGCCTGAGCCAATTCACCTGTGCTCTGGGAGAAGAGTCCAGTTTACACTCATCCTCCCCATTCCCTGCCTTTTATCTTGTGCAACTGAAGTACATTTCAGGTGAGCTTTGCTACAGCCTTACTTGCTGAAATAAGCATCGCTGTGCAATCCCATGCAAAGAACTGGGCACCCCTTCCCTCTGGCAGGGAAGAGTGCACACGCAGCACCTCGCTTACATGGGACTGCGGTGGGGGAGGAGGGTAAAGTTCAGCCACTGCAATGACCAGTTTCAAAATTACATGGCTGGAGTTCTTCAGGCAAATGCCTTTTGCCTGTAGGGTAGTTGTTTGGTAGGTCGGTCATCTGGCCTGATAACCTTGATATTTTTTGTATACCTCTAAACACAGGGCTAAAGACAGACTTTGGCATCTGAAACGGGATCTGCTTTGGGGATGCAAGTACAAGTTCAGGTCAAAAACACTCCGGCAGGGAACACAGAGCTTTGATCCCAAGTGGGCAAAGTATCTCCCCGCTGCCGTGCCCCCGGCACCGAACCCGAGGGGGCTCTGCTGCCAGGCCTGCCCAGCCTTCCCGTTTCCCACCGCAGGCTGGAGCGTGAGCTGACGGCTGGGGTTTCTGTCATCTTTCTGAACTACAACTGGACTTCTAGATTCTTCCCTGGATAAAAAGCTTGGTATCCATGAGGCAGCTAAATCCTCCTTGGGCCTGTCCTCATTTTTCTAGCCTGCATATAGCACTGGGTGAAACATAGGTCCAAAATCTGAGGTCAGTAAGCATCTGGTCACTCATTTGAGCAGGAGTCAGGGGGTAAGTCCTATGCTATTTACTTCCCCAACAATGACAACCAAAAGAGTGAATTCAAGCTAATGCCAGCACACCAAACGCAAACTCACCAAATAGGCTTCAAAAATGAAAATCACACTTAAAATAATATTGTTACTTTGGAAACTCAGTGGAAATCTTGCAGTGGATCAGAAGGCCAAGCTGGTATCTGAGCGTGCTGCAAGAGCAGCTTCTGAGTCGCTGTCTCCCAAACCTATTGTATAGTTTGCTCTCATACAGCACCGGCTGGAAAATAGCGCAGCATTCACTTAAAAGGTATTTCTGCAGCTAAAGGAGTGGCTACTAATAATCCTTTCTTTTCTGTCATTTGAACAGTATTCAGGGTTTCAGCAAACGGCGGACAAGTGCTTTGTTTGTGGACACCTCATAATGGAAATGGTAAGAGACCTAAATTCCTAACCGCGGGGTAGCTTGCTTTTCACGTACTTTGGGTAGCGCACTGTGAGGCATGGCGCCGTTTCCTGAGTCAGATTATCGTTGTCTTCGCTGCTGTCAAGGTAATCTTTGAAACTGAGGCAGTAAATAAACAAAAATACCTTCGTGCTCTATTACTATTAAGTACGGTAAGTTAGGCTTCTTTTCTCCTTGAGATCATGGGAGGCTGTTGTTCTGCCACATGCCAGTTTAAAAGAAAAATAGAATTTTAATACTAAAGGGGAAAATACAGCACAGCTTTGCATGAGAACATGGTAAAGGAAAAGAGAGGCTGTACTCTGTCAGACAGCAGAATAGCAAGAGCTCTGTCAAGTGGATGGAATCTGGGCTAGAGAGAGAGGAGGGACTTTATCAACAGTCCTGAGGTTTGTTACCCGCTCTGACTTGCTTTATTTACCTTCTGCCACTTGCTCCACGTCAGATAAAATGCGTTATTGCCACTGGGATTTGTAGGGAGCTGGTAGTCAGAGTTACTTTTATAATTAAAAAAATCAAAGGGCTGTGGGTTGGGCCAGATACTGCTGGCGTCATTTCAGTGGGTGAAAGTAGGAAGAATTTAGTCTGTTCTTCCTAAGCAGAAATTCCCAAACAAAATGAAGTGGCTTGCACATTGAAGAAGTGCAGATCATGGAGTATAGCTATTCTCCTCTTGCTTTAAAATGTATGTGAACCTCAGTATGCCTAATAGAAGTAGCTATTACGTCGCAAGGAACGGAGACTTCACTAATGAGGATTCTGGCTCATATCCTGGCACCACTGGTTGGACAAGGATATTGTTCGTTTTAGCCCAAGAGCAAATTTCTGGAGTTGTGTCATGCTGGGAGGGGGAGGGGTATCCTGACTTGCATGCTTTGAGCTGGCCCTTAATTGCAGAATCCCAGGCAAGAGTCCATAACATCTCGTCGGTGGAGCTCAGTAGCTGGAAGCTTGGCAGGTGCTTGTCTGCCTTTCTCCCATCAGCAAGTGCGCTCTGACAAAGGGAAACAGCTCTGGGAGCTCCAGGAATTAAGCAGTCTTATTTGGCTAATTCCTTCGCGCTCCTCCCTGGGAGTGCACAGACGCCAAACGTGCCTGTGCGGTCGTGGCGCCCGCGTACAGCTAAGGAGCAGAGTGCTGCAGCCCCGCAGGCCTGGGCGCAGCTGAAGCTGTGCGAGGCTCAAAGTGCAGCCGAATTAGGAGTTGCTCTGTGCAAAGGGGTGGCTGCACGACCACGCCAGGCTAACAGCGTGTTACACACCTGCCTAGATAGCAACACGCGCGCAGAGATGAGTTGTTTCTGGCTAGGAACAGGCTTGCAAACCAAATGCCACTTACTGAAGAGAGAGCTATAGGGCTTCATTAGAGGGGGAAAAAGGTTAAATTAAATTGACTTTGTGCATTTTTCCTATGCTTCGCTTCTTATTTCCTGTTGATTTGATCTTTATTCATAGCATCATCTACAGGGCCATGAGAGCTTGGCCTGTGGAGATTTTTAATCTCCAGCTTATTAGCAGCTCCAAGCTGAGCACTGCTGCTAGCAGATACTTTTTGAAATTACCTTCCAAATGTATTTCTTATACCTTAAACGTATGCAGTTGGTGCTATAACCTGTTAAGACCTGCCTGAAGATCATACCATGTCTCACGCTTCCCGGAGGCTCGTTCATGGGCTCAGTGCATCCTCCTTGACGCCCCCGTGCCACGCTGCGCGTTACATGCAAGGACGCCGGGAGGCAGGGGTCTGTTCTGTAGTAGTGTAGCCGAGACTGCGTCAGGCCTTTGCCTGAAGCCTTTAAAATGCAATAGGGAAGGTCAGCATGGGAAAAGCCTGGGCAGATGGATGGGTCTGTATCCAAACACATGGATACAGATGGAATTTTAACAGAAACCGATGGGCCCCTATGACTGAGTGATAACCAGTCAGTAACTGTGGTGGGTTAGGATCCTTAATTAATAAAGGGCCACCTGTTTATTTGCTTGTTTTGTTATTTTAATTTTTGAGTAATGACTGGTTTGGATTCTGTCTGTCACAGCCTGTTAAGTTTTGTGAATTAACTGTGTATCCCAGTAACTTGTATTTGGCTGCAACAGAAGTTGCAAGAAGTTTTCCAAGAAGTGGTCTCTGAAGCCGTTTTTAATTTCTGTTGGCAGTATTGGCCCTGCAGAGCTAAGATTCATGGGCGTTAGCCCGATTTTCACAGTTCTCTCTCTTTGCTGGGAGCCTACTGAAACCCACTGAAATAAGCAAGTGGATTGTTTTAAAAGGCCCCTTGCTGACAGATCTGCAGAGTGGTAATTTCATCCTGAAGTGCTTTTCTCACTGTCATCATTAAGAATCAGACACAGCAGTATATGGGGGGATCTCATGTAATCATGCATCCACTTATTTTGCTGTTTGCCTCTTAAGATCTTACAGGCCCTTGGAAAGTCGTACCATCCTGGCTGCTTCCGCTGCGTGGTGTGTAACGAGTGTTTGGATGGAGTCCCCTTCACTGTAGATGTGGAGAACAATATTTACTGTGTCAAAGACTACCATACGTAAGTACGCAAATCCATTGCATACTTGGAAAAATTGCAGTAGTTAAATTATTGGTATAGTTATAAGCCTTGTGTTAGATAAAAAGGGTTATTCCTATTTGCTCAGGTGTCCCTCAAGTGCTGCTCTCATATGTTGCATTTGTGAAGTATTTTAAAGTTACGTTAAAGGCCACTTCATGGGCCCCTGTGGCATACAGCGGCCAGGTGAGGTTGAAAATCAAGTTGTGTCAGAGGATGTACGTCCCTGGTGGCCGTTTCTCTACTGCTTTCGGGACTTTCAGTACTAATTAGATCAGGCCAGTTCTGCAAGCGATGGTAGGTTCTGCTGGCTGTTTCTAAGCATTGAGGTTCTGGTAGTGCGTGACACTTGCGAGTGTAAGTAAGTTAGGTTAACCTGGACTGGACAGTAGACATGTAATTAGCAGCTAGTGTTAGAACGATTTTAGCCTCACCTAACAAAAAGTTTTGTGGTTTAAGTGATTGCTCTTGGAGTGCTTTCTGCTCCCGCTCAAAGGCAACACGAATGCTCTTAGCTCCAGTCAACCGATAACTCAGCTTACGCAGCAAGAGTAAATGACTCTGAACTCAACCCTACTGGTACCAAGCTGACCGTGTTACAGGGACAGAGTGAATGTTGGCCCAGTCATTGTCGTAAAATGCAGCTGTGGATAATAATTCCAGTTGATGTATTCGGTTTAAGTAGATCCTAGCCATGACCAGCCCCTCTCCTATTTAGCATGGTTATGTCTTCCTGACGTCAGATGGTGACAGTCCCCAAGTCAGGAGCTGCTTTGCACTCAAAGCAGTGAGTCTCTGGAAGAATTTGAATGGCTTTATGAGTAAAGGAAAGTAAGAGAAAGGGCATGTGTGGGAAGAGGGCTGGATTCCCTATGCCTAGAGGTCAGGAAGACCTAAGCAATAAAGCTGGGGTAGATCAGCCTCTTCCAAATCTCCTTTTCCCTGAATATTATCAGACATTTAGAGATGTTTCAAATGCTGTGTATCCACATTTTGCTAAAAACAAGGCATGGTTAGAATAGCTCTCTTGGTTCTACTTTTTGAAGAAGCTTTACATGTGGTTTGAACACTTTCTTCTTGCACCCTAGGGTTTTTGCACCAAAATGCGCTTCCTGTAACCAGCCGATCCTACCAGCACAGGTACATGTTAATGTGCACTGACTCTTTAGACAACAGCTGTTGGCATAGGAACACTCTAAAAACACATTAGGTGCTTTTCCTCCCTCTTCCAGAATCTATACTATGTCAGATACTCAATTAAATACAGTTCAGCAGTAATGTCACTCCCAAACATTCCCAGAGGTTGTAATAGTCATACTACTTATGCAGCGTAGTACTTTGTATCTTTAGGGTGCTTTCCAGGTCTTAATTATGCTGTTATAAATCTCATTTAATTGAAAGCCCTGACTGGGACTCCAAGAACAACCCAAGAAGTAAATCCCTGGTTATTTTTAGAATCTCCTATTAGCTCAAGTAGCAATTTTCCCTTTCTGCTACGTTTACGTTTCTGATGTGGATCTGTTAAGATGCCCAAACTTGAAAAGATGTCTGAGGGTTACGCTGACCCTGTGAAAAGGCCACGCAGTCTGTTGTCCTGGGGTGGCAATGTAATGAAAGTGCTTAAAGGGGTGGAAAAGGCAGCAGCAAAGTTGGCCCAAAGGGAAGCCAGGTGAATGACCTGCTTGCAGCCGCAGCCTATCCTGGCAGTAGAGTTAGCACGATAAAGACTTCTGCATTAAGACATCCCTTTTCTGCCTGCCCGCAGCGGTGCTCCCTCATACTCTGGTGGGTGCAGGACCCTCAGTTCTCATTGCTGAGGTCACTGACCAGCTCATTTGTAAGCAAGGGCCTCAGCACCTCCCTGCATTTCCTCCTGTCATGTTCATAAAGCCAGAGCTTGCATCCTGTAAGCTGCTGTGCCCTAGTAAAGCCCGTGGCCAGAGCCTCTCAGCATGCCCGCCTCCATCACTCTGCACGTTCAATCTCTATTTGTCATTATTATTTCTGTTAAATGGCCAGGTCTCACATAATTAAAAACCTTATAAAGGCTGAGCCAGAACTGTTTGTCCTCGTGATGGGATGTGAGGAGGAAACCCCTACATAAATGTCACTGAATTTGTGTCTTACAAAATGACTTTAAAAAAAAAAAAAGGAAAGAAAAGAAAAAAAAAAAAAGAAGTCCTACTGCTGACTCATCTGATGGCTAGCAGGATAGACTGCACGTTCTTTCCCATGGAGGTTTCTTAGGTTAGTTCAAGTCTAGCAGTGCAGGTACTCACTTGCCCACAGCTTCTCTCAGACATAGTCTACGTCATATCTGATGCTCTAACCACACCTGGAACTGGAAACAATGCAAGGCAACGAATTTAATGAGCTCTGTCTTCAGAGTGGATCAGGGAAAGAAGGCTCTGCAGGGCCTGGGGCTCAGCCAGGAATTACACAACTCCACTGCATCCACCCTCATGCTGAGCTTTTGGCCTGTGCACGTAATTACCTGCCGGACTGGTATGTAAATCCCTATGGGGTACATAGAGTGACATGTGCATGTGCAAAATAGCTGTGCAGCAGATGGTTTGAGGGGAATGCAAATCCTGGAAAGCTCAGGCCAGGATGTCTACGAGGAAGAATTACTCCATCAGCAGGTCATACTTTTTGGCTGGTAATTTGTTTAGATCCTGGGTGCCCTTGGAAAATTATTTGATTTCAAGACTAATTTGTCCCTTGAGGATGAAGTTTTGGCTACACTTCCCAAATGACCTCTACAGCTTAGATATGTCAGACACCCACGCTGCTGCTAAACAGCAAAAACAGCGGTGCAGTGCTGTGCACCAGGGGACAAGACCCTCAGCGGTCACAGAGCTGTGCTCTGCAGAGGAAGGGGGGATCCCCCAGGGAAACAGCTCTCCAAAGTGATAGGGTGGGCGCTGAAAGATTGAGAAAACACCGCTTACAAGCCCACTCTTACCTTCTCTCTGCTTCCCCAACAGGGCTCTGAGGAGACCATTCGGGTGGTGTCAATGGACAAAGACTACCACGTGGAGTGCTATCACTGCGAGGTAAGCATCAGGCGCCTCTGCCGGCCCGCCCCACGGCAAGGCTTTGCTAATAACTGGCAGCCTCTTGGTAGGTGCCTGACTCGTACCCCCGGGTGCGCTCGCTGGCTCTTGCATGCCTGGGCAGGTAGGGCTCTGCCCCGCAAAGGGATGAGTGCTAGCGGGGCTGCAAGTGGTGCTGCCATCTCCAGTACCAAATTAGGTGGGTTTTTTTCCCCCAGTATATTAACTTCACAAGCTGAGTTTGGTTGTTTGGGTTGAATTCTCTCAATACTTCAGACCGGGAGAGAACAAAGAGTAGGTGCCAGTTCTCTTTTTCCTGATCTCTCTATACAGCTTGTGAGGCTCTGATCTGAGGAGACGCTTGAATTCACATTGCCTGTGCAGGGAAGGACCCTCACACCTACACTGGAAGGCTTTTCTAGGGGATCTGTGTTTTCTCCATGCTGAATGAATATTGATTCTTTACTAGAAAAGAGACAGGGATACCACTGACTTTTTTGTCATTTTTTTGGAAGTAGTTTCTTTTTGTGCAGGACATTTAAATGTTTGTTGGAGCAGATCAGCTGTGGGACTCGTGCTCTTGCTTTGGAGAGGAGAGCTGAGTTCAGTCCTAGCTCTGCATCCAGGAGCATGAGGAGGGAAACAAACTCTTTAATTTGGGATCAACCCAAAACTTCCCTTTTGCTGTAGGTTTGGCACTCTGATACAACATGCAAATGTCCACACAGATCCTAGCTGGCTACCTACCCATCTTAGCACCACAGGCAAAAATGCACCAATACTATCTTCCATGCACTTTTGCACAAAAAGGTTTTTACAAAGAGCCTTCTGATTGAGGGAGAAAATAAAATTCAGGGTCTCTTGAAACACACATGAACGTAAACCTAAGGAAGACCCCATCCACTCAGCTGTCTCCTTCCACCACAGACACCTGATACTCCATCCTTCTCTATTAATTTTTAAAGAGACCTTGGCACAGGAAATGGCAGCATTTTGGAGCGCTGTACTTCCCTCCTCCTTCTCCCCCCATCTATTGCTTTGTGCAGGCTTCACCTAAGATGACAGCTCCCTCCCCTTCTCTCTCAGGCTATTGACTTTATATTAGAATGTCCCAATGGGGGTTTATTTTCAGTTCTGTTTCATTATTCATTTCCCCATTCTCCTTCCAGTTTGAGGCAAATCAAGCTGCCTCCACATCTGCCCAGAATGGCAGAGTGCATTTATGTACCGAATCGGGGGTTAGCCACGTGTTAACAGGGGTAGGCACTGCCTAATGGTCTCACATCAGGCTCGCAAACTGTACGCGCTGGGTCACTGCTGTCTCCAACTACTGCTAGGAAATTTAGTGCCCGTATTTTGAGGTATTCACAGGGAGACTTTCGCAAAGGCTATGATGGCCTACGCAGCCACTTCCAAAATGCCATTCGTTAACGTCATCATCGCCTGGTGGCCATGCAAAGTCAGGAGTCAGTTTGGAAACTTTGCTGCTTTTCTGTATCATCTCTTTCTTGTGCAACCACTTAACTTCTGCTGAGAAGTTCAAGCTGGTTTACCGATCGATAGACCCCCATTTGGAAACCGAAATCCACTGAGAAGGCAGGCTTTCTGATTGCAGAAAAGGAACACAATTTTGGAGAGGGGAAAAAAGGTATGAACACTTGGCACATCTGTAGGGTGTCTGAAATTGTTAAATTCTAATGAGGAACTGAATTTTAAATCTTAAATAAAGGACTATAAAGTTATTAAATAACATATAGTAACACACAGAAAACTACCTTGGCAGAAACTTTGCTTAAAGCCTCCCTAAACTAACACTCCAGTTTTAAAGCTTACTTTAAAACCCATTTTTCATTCTTATTTCAGCATTGTAAAATCTGAGGATTTTAACTTGAGCTATGAAAGCTGAAAAATTGTACTTTGTGTCAAATCAAAAACTTAGTATTGAAAACTGATGCAAAAATGACCTATACGCCCAACTTGTGCCATTTTTTTTTTTTTCTCCTTTCTATTAAGTGTTCCGATACATACTCAGAATCTCTGGTTTGTCAGGTCTGGTCACAGGAACAATTTTGAAGCATTTAACAAACCCGAAACATTAAATCCAAGCACAAAACTGCCATGACTTTCAAATGTCCTCAAAATTATAATGATGACAACTGACAACCAGGGTTGCCTCTCTTGCAGCGTACATAATAGTCAGCGGGCAGGATCATTGTTTGTTGTTTTTCTTTTTATCTCTGTTCCGCCACTGTTGTTCACTCCTGTCGTCCCTGTAGTTACATGCTGGTCCCAGAGGTACTAACGTATTTCCACTAAAGATGGACCATTGGCCTTGAAGTCTTTAATTTTTTTTTTCAATTCCAAATTAGAGAGAAAGTGCAGCCGTGCTTCAGAAGTAAAACATGTCTCATCTCCCCTCTTCCCCACTCCTCTCATTCTCTACTTAGGCTCCCCCATTTCTTGCTCGCTGCCTTGTTGTGGAATTAGCTCCTTCTCTGTTCTAACCTCTTCCAGGTTGTATGTGTCAGGGTCAGTGTTTGGCCTGGTTTTGTCTGATTTGCATCAATGTTCGTTAGACGAAGAAAAGACCAGAATGTGAAACAATGGGGAAGAAGATGCTGGGCACTACTGTGGACTGTCCTGTTTGATTTCAGTGATGGCATCTTGCTGAATATGAGATAGTCAGGGTCCACCTACCAAAAAGGCTGCAGGTTGCTGGTTTTGGAGGTATGGGAGGGAGCTCTTGGGGTTATGCAGGATAGATCAACATTGTTGTGAGATGACCTACCTGAATCACTCGCTAACCTGGGATGTGTATGTTTCTTCTAGGATTGTGGCTTGCAGCTCAATGATGAGGAAGGCCATCGTTGTTACCCGTTAGAGGGCCACTTGCTCTGCCACGGCTGTCATATCAGGCGCCTTAATATTAAACTGCCATCACATCCACCTCCGAGCTATCCAATGCATGTCACAGAACTCTGAAAGACATTTCCATTACCAATAAGCTGTTTGAAAGAGAAGACAAAAATCTAAAAATGACTTTCCTGTTCCTTTAAAGATGTAATTCCAGTAATAACCATCTAAACCAGCTATTTATTTTTTAAATCAGAGGTGAGGGGTCTTTTTCTGATCTTGTACATATGCGTTCTTTTATCTAGACGTTTTCACTGAGACACTGTCTACTTGAACAAATAATTCACCACTAAACTGTAACTGTAAATGGCAGCGTTTCTAAAAACAATGGTACAAAGGGCTGCTCTGCACTCCTTCCTCACTTGCCTTCAGTGGAGATTTCTCCCAGGTAAGGAGTGTAGAATTACTTTCCAAAAGTTAGCACCTTATCATATTGCAGCAAGCATGATAAGAGAAATGCTAGCATTTTAGCTATTTTTGTTGAATTCTGGTCTTAGAGAATACAGTCTCACATTTTTTAAAACTTAGACTCCCAGAAGTAGTGAATAGGAAGCAAACAAGTGTTTTTAGCAATGACAGTTTTCAGCGTGGGTTAAATAATGGCGTTCTGTGAAGAAGCGTCAGGGCCGCTTTCCATCCTACAAGGTTCCACAGTCACCCAAAGACTATTTAGCTGTTAAAGAAATAGGGCAAGCATCTCATGTAAAAGCCACATACAGAGGAACATATCCAAAAGATTGGCACATGCAGGGTCGTCACAGTTGACGAAAGTTACAGAGCTCTGTAATTGCTTGCCACGTACAAATGTAGCCGTGGTTTCAAAGTGCATTCATATCAACTTGATGATTTGGCACTTACTTACTAAAGAATTAATCTTTTAAACCTGTTTCTTTTGTTTAATAGGGTTAGCAGCCCCTTTCTATGCAAAGGTACACTTGTCTTTATGCTACTTACTTGTTTTATACAAGACTTCATTTGTTACCAACTGCTTTATGATTGTATGTCGATTCGTTATTAAAAAAAGAGGGGGACAGTGGTTTTTGTAGTATCTTTTCAGCTTTGTGTTCTTTTCTAGATGTACTTTTGAACTGATTACGGTGATTGTCTTCATTGGAAAGCAAAGTACGGTTTAGCAGAAATAATAATTTAGAGAGTCAGACCATTGAAACATTGCTATTTTATAACAAGTATTAGATGTACATATAATGTACACACTTTCATATTTTGCATAAGCTTTTACAGTAACCTCAGAGCTCTGGGGAAATGTATGTCTTCCATATAGGAAGTTAGATGAATCTTTTTTATGGTTTGTTTTCTACCATGTGTTGATGATTTACATGCAAATCACACATCTGTATGTTTAAAAAATTCCTTGCATTCTCATGAGAATTGATCCAGCCTTCCTGAATTTACATTTTAAATAAATCCATCATTGCTGTCTTTAACTGTATCCAAAATTACAATAAAATAAAATTCTGCTGCTCCAGAGGAAGTGGAAATACCAGACCAGATTCTCTGCATGTGTAAATTGGGACATTTCCATGCCAATTCTCAACATGTCGAGAATCTGACCGATCCATTTGGAAAGGATCCCATGTTAAATTCAGCACGCAGACTGATGAAATGACTTATTTGGCAACACCATTGCAGTTTAGTTTCTTCTGCTCCATTGGTTTTTTGAAAGCCATTTGTGGTGCTCTTGCGAAGTACAAAGAGCATCCAATGGACACTTAATTCCTAAGTGGAATAATTAACTCCTGTAACAGAACTTTTTGATAGTCTGGAATTTCCTTTGGGGGAAGGGGTGGGCAGGCAGGAAAAATTCCTGTGAACTGATTTTTTTCTGTTAGTAAGGAACAAAAGGTATGTTTCCTGAACTTTTGCCAAACTTCCATTGGCCTAGATTAACCTGTCCTACTGAATGCTCCTCAGCAAGGCAGATGCTCCTTTAAAACGTCATTTTTCTAATTAATATATATCAGTTTACAATTAATATATTTAATGCGATAGCCATGTTTTGAAGGCATTACAGTGCAACTAGTGCCCCGTTTCTACAGTGTCACCTGAGAGGCCTGGCCTGCAAAAGAGAGGACACGGGGTCCATGCATGCTTTTTCTGCATTTGCAAACATTACCTCTGTGCCCATAGTCACCAGCCCAGCCTCAGAAGGAAGGGGAAGTACACGTGCCTCTCACCCAAACAGCAAATGCTAGGAAAGGGGAAAAAAAGTTGTCTTAAATTGGATTGTATGACTAGGTCAATTCCTTCAGGTTATTACAAACATGGAAGATATCAGAGCTTCAAGATAAACTTTTAGTGTCAGCTGCAATGTAATACTTTTTCCATTTAAGGAAGCTGCTTTGGACCACATTTAGCTTTGAGGCATTTTTACTTGCTTGTCTTTACAATATATATTAAGGAACCCAAATTAAGAAAACGATCATTAAAACACACAGAGGAGGTTTGGGTCTGTTCTGTGAGCAAGTCCTCCCATAACAGTACTCGCTGTACTGGAAGAATGCCTTGCTCTATCAATATAGAAGCAAAACCTTCAAAATCACAGCGGCCAGAGATGGCGGTGTCTTACGCTGGCGTTCAGTCCAGTCTTCTGCCAGTGCCTGCCTTAGCACCTTGCCTCCTTCAGGGGCAAGTTTAAGTTTCCACTCCAACGTACTTCTCGAGGGACAGCACGCTATCTATCTAACATGTACATGCCATACCTTTTCTTCTCTTTTGAAACCAATCATACTGTAGAACAGAATAATATTTAATTTCATTTCACATGTTAATTTGTCCATCTCTTGTAGTTCTACTCAGTGTTAAGTATCATCATGGTAAAAATATCGAAAGGTAATATTTCAATATAGAAAAAGCAATTGGTTTAAAACCAGAAAGCAGCAGTTGTTGTTCCAGTATTTTCTAAAGACAGGTGCATTCCATTACTGTATAATGAAATACAGCTTTGCCTTTCCAGCATTTAGTATAAAAACTGGAGCTTGAGTGAAATTTGCTAGTGGCTTTTTTTTTTTTCCCTAATCAAAGAGAAAAATAAAAGCAAATCTAAAATAATGACATGCTGTACGCTTTAGTGCTAGTGACAGTTTCTGCACATTTTACCTCCTGTTTGGGGTACTATGTAAATGAGAAAGCTTCTTTTAATGATTTTCTTAAGGAATATTCTTATGTTAAATCAGTTCAACACAGAAGTAAACTTCCTTTCTAGAGTTCATTTTATTATGTGATTGTTCTTCAGAAGCCTTTGCTGTACTTTCAGAATATTTCCATAAAGTTAAAACAATAACAACTTGTTCTCATTTGCATCAGGACTACACCTTTCCATTTTGGTAAGGAACCATACAAAGTCCCTGCAGCACAAACCTGTTTGTTGTAGGCGATTCAGAGTCCCTCGTGCACTGGAGGACGAGTTCCAAAGGACCAAAATAATAATCTGAAAACGAAACAAAAGAATGCACTCAGATAATTGAGCTTTCAAAGAGGATTTGTTTGGGTTTCTTTCCTTTTCCTTTCACTTGTGTGCACGTGTGTGTGTGTGTGTATATATTTTGTAAGGTGGAGCATCAAAAGGAAAACATGGTTAGAGGAGCTCTTTAAGACCAGAAATTCCAGAGTAGTTAAAGTAAACCAAAGCTCTAAAGGAGACAAAAGCTGCTTTCTTGTGTTTCAAGAGAAGTTTAAAAGTTTGTGATTCATCCTGTAACTAATGCCGTAACTAGAGTATATAATTTGACTTAAATTAAGTTTTCATTTGAGAAATATTTTCATTTTCTTTAAAAGAATATAGTTTTCTTCCAAGAACTTGGACCAACGTTGATTTTTATTTTGTAGGAAATATATAAATTCCCAGTTTGTATATCATGTAACTAGTTTACATGCTGAAAAATATACATTAGTTTAACTATTTTTGTATATATATCCTTGTAAAACCTTTCAATGTGCTTCTGTCTTTTAGTCTTTAGAATTACTTGTGGTTTTGTGTATCAGTGTTTGATTCCCTTGATTGTTGAAGAAAAAAATTGGGAAATGTAGATTTATTTATCTAAAGAAGAAGCTACTTGCTGTCATCCTAAGTTATTTAATATTAAAAGTCAGAAGTTTCATTTAACCTTAGATGCTATAATCTGCTTTTTTCAATAAAGACATTTTGTAGTTATATTTGGTTTTGTAGTGTGTTGCATATAAGTTGGTGTTTTTTTTTTTAATCTAGGTGGGCACTAAAACAATTTTCAGGAGACCCTTGTATTGCCTACAGAAATGCCTAACTGATATTAATTGATTGCAGCTGCATTCATGAAAGATTTTGGTCCTCCAGTGCAAGTGTTACTAATTAAGGTCTAAAATATGCCCACAGCTAACATTTTGCAGCTGCACTTAGAAAAGAATTTAGCCACTCTGGCAAATTTTAATTAAGCTTCAACCAGTCTGGCTCATTCACATGTAGGACAGTCAGTATTGAGGAATGCTTCCTTTTCAAGACTCCCATTAGTTTTTGGAGTGTTCCAGAAGAGAAGTGCTTGCCTGGGCTATGAACTTGCACAGCTTTAAGCACTTGGACCTTAGTTTGGGGAATTTTCTCAATTTTCTTGCTAAGTGACAGTAATTCAGAAATGTGGCCAGAGCTCTGACAGGATCAAACAGACGCTTTTTTATATATTTTACCTTTCTGAAGCTCTTTGCCACTTTCTTGTCTCCAGCTTCATGGCACAGATGGGTGCTTGGTCGCATTTACTTTCCGCACACAGTGGTCCTGCAAGAGCAGCTCTGTCTGTCAGGGAAAAGGTTCATCAGCACTGGTATCTTGTCTCCAACTATGGCCAAAAGTAGATGCCTGGGGAAAGAGAGTACAAACCAGTTTCTTCCTGGTTTCCTGATATTCAGTGAGTTTCCTTTCCATTAAGCTGGTCTGTCCACCATCCTTGTGGATGCTCTTTCCTCCAGTGACTCACAGAAGCCAAATACTTACAAGCTGCTATTTCAGTGTGATGCCACCCTCTCCTCCAAAGAGGCCTGCTCTGCAGCTCTGCCACCCTGGCTTTGCAAAGTACAAATGACTGCATGTTTGGAGATGAAGCTTACTGGTGGTTTTCACACAATGGCTATTTCGGCAAATTTTTCTTCTGCACAGTCAGAATGGAGAGAGTTACAAATGATGCAGTTCTTCTAGGGACACTGTCTGCACTTCTGTGCTTTGAAAGAGATGTACCACACTGCTATAGGGCCTTCACATACATGCTAGTTTCTCACTCTCGTGATTTTTAAAATTC